AATAACACGTGATTTAAGAGGAAAATGGCAAAAAAGGCAAAATAAGGGGGATTGTGTGTGATAAGCCCAGTATGCGCTCTCACCCAGCAGCATCTGGAGAGGATTTTCTCCAGCAGGCAGGGAAGAACTCGATTACATCCAGTTAACTGTGCTCTAAACTGATTATGCATGTGCCAGGCTAATGGATTACATTAGCAAGAGGAAAAACGTGATTTAAGAGGAAAATGGCAAAAAAGGCAAAATAAGGGGGATTGTGTGTGATAAGCCCAGTATGCGCTCTCACCCAGCAGCATCTGGAGAGGATTTTCTCCAGCAGGCAGGGAAGAACTCGATTACATCCAGTTAACTGTGCTCTAAACTGATTATGCATGTGCCAGGCTAATGGATTACATTAGCAAGAGGAAAAATAACATCCAATCAATCTCAATTTACTGCAGACCACACCAAGGCCTGAGAGGAGAGAAACTGCTCTGCGAGCTGCCCCCGCATTCCCCCCAGCGCTCGGAGCCACAGCACGGCCGCCCCCAGCACCGGCAGAGCCACTCTGGGAGCCACGGGAAGGGTTTCCATGGACCCAACCCTGATCCCAGCCAAGTCCGGCCGGCCGCTCTCCCCGCACACAGGTACACCATGGTCATGGCACACCGTAACACCACGTACCATAACACGGCAGGCTCCATTGCTCCCAAACGTGTCATTCCCATCCAGCTTCACGGCTCTTCTGTTGGAAGCATCGCAGGGCTGCAACAGCTCCAAGCGCTGCGCAGGCCTCTTATGAACCCGAAAACTGGCAATTGCTCTTGGTCTGAGGAAAGCATTTCAGAGTCTTCATTAAAGCATCCACTGCCGTCCCCAGCCTGACTGCGGTGGGGGTGGTTTTGCTCTGCCCTGATGGCTTCTTTCCCAGTAGAAACCACTGGAGATGAAGGGTCTTGATAAAGCATCTCTAAACCTTTGCAATGTATATCTAAGTGAACATTATTATGTGCTAAAACTCCTAACACAGCTTTCCAACAACTCCTCTGGACCCCAAACTGATCTCCACAGACTGAGGAGATCCATTAAACTCCTCAGCTGGTTTCTCAACCCCGACTGGGACTCTTCTGCTCCAGTTCCAAGCCGGTTTTACTCCCCCGGGTCTGGGGACAGAGGGATCTGTGCAGACCGGAGCATTTCTAGAGCCAGGTCAATGTCCAGTTTCAAATTCCCCTTACATAAAGAAAAATATTCAAAGAAATAATTAGAGAGAAACAAAACACAGTATCTGTGTATATATACTTATATATACTAAAAAAATTCTCACATTTTGGGGGAAAGCAGGAAGAAAAGGATGAGGACAGAAAGAATATGAAAAAACCTGAGAGAAACGAGCAGACAGTGAGCGGGACAGCATGTGTGAACAGGAGGTATGCGGCTGCTTAGATTTATGGCGATTCGTACCTGATTGTTCATACTAAAGCCATTATGGGATGATTAGAGAAAAAGGTGAAGCTTTAAGTCCAGTGAAAATCAATAGAAACGTCTGGAGCAATTCTGCTGCACGAGTGAAGGACTATTTACTGTATCCGGAGCTGCTCTTGGGTTACAGCCCACGGGTCCGGGCCAGCGAGGGGGGGCGGCAGGGAGGGAAGATGGTTGTAAAGAAGATACAGAACGAGCAGAAAAAGAAGAGTGAGGAAACAAGATGGCAGCCGCAGGGCGAGCGCTGCCGCGGATGGGAACCTGCAGCGCCCTGGCACGTCTGGCCGCAGGCACGGCCACGCACACGCGCAGGGCAGCTCCTCGGCCTCCCCAGCCTCGAGCACCGCTCCTGACAGATCCCAGCACTAACGCACACAGAGCACGAACCACAGCAGAGCATAACGCACCTCTGCCCCTGTCGGGACCAGCACCTTTCTCCGATAGCAGTGAGCACCATCCAGTGCCATCCCCAACCTCGCACGGTTAACGACCCGCAGTATGGAGAAGGGCCAGCAGACGCGTGGCAAATACCACCTCGTGCAATGCCTTCAACAGCGACTGCCGAATTTCTGTGCAAAACCATCACGTATATGGAGTGCTACAAGACACACAAGCCCCATCAAAGCATCATGACACCAACACCCATTGGCCTAAGGCTTCAACAGCCACAGCTGCCATCAAACACAGGTTAAGGAGCTGAACCACGCAACCTGGTCCTACGGGAGACACGAGCGGCTCATCTCCAACGGAAAGCAATGCACCACCAACATCCACCGAAACAGGGCTTCCTTTGTGCCAGCGACGGAGGGAGGTGAAGCAAAGCCAACCCTTACCTTGTAGAGCTTCAGGCTGGCCTCGTGCCTCGAGTTCACCGTGTGGAGACGCAGCTTCTCCAGGCTGTTGGTGTAGTAGTCGCACGCGTTGCACTTCAGGTGCACCGGGTTCCCGATGGCCACGCACTTCAGCCTCCACTCGTTGGCCTTGCCGCCCTCCTTGATGTGAGCCACCAGCTGGTACTTCTGCACGTGCTTGTCCGTCTTGCAGTGCAGCTGGAAGTTGGCCTTCAGCTGCGTGTTGTAGCGGCACAGCTTGCACTGGTACGAGTCCCCCATCACCGCCTTCCACTCGTCCTCGGGGAGGCTGCGCTCCACGTTCATGTGGAGGCCCAGCATGTCCAGGTTGTCTGTCGTGAACTTGTTGCACACCGCGCACTGGAACAGCTTCAGCGAGGGGTCGTTGGTCTGCGTGAAGCTCTCGCCCAGGTTCATCAGCTCCTCAGACACCAGCTGCCCGCCGCCTAACCGCATGTCCAGGGGGATCTCTCCACCCACTGCACGAAGGAAAAGGGAGAGAGAGGTCAGAAAAGCTGAATTCTCGACTCGCCAGAAGCACAGAACACGCGCTGCTCTCGGTGCAACTCTGTGCCCACCACACGCACAGCGAAAGCCAAGCCCAGCTGCCCCTTCACTCACTCGTCTGCGCTGCTGAGCAGTGCTGCACCCCAAGACAAAGCCATTGCAGCCACATCTAAGGCTGGGGAAGGATGGCAGCAGCCCTTGTCACCCACCTGCTGAAGGAGAAGCACCCACCCCTCTGCCTGTGAAAGCTGGCATGGAAAACCCTGCAGAGTCTCCGAGGATGGGAATTCCTCACTGGAAGTCTCCGTGGCCACTTCAAGGCCAGCACAACGCTTTACCCCGGTTTTTCTTGCCTACCTGGAGAGCCGAGAGCTGTCACCGCACGCAGTCCCTGCCCAGGGACAGGTCAGCGGTCCCAGCCCGAGTGACAGGAACCACAGCCGGGTCACCACACAGCCTCGGACACGGGGCACGTGCAACCCTCCACCCTAATCCCAACCCCATCCCTCGTGCAAGGGTCCAGAGCCTGCCAAAACCAGCGCTGACAGCCGCTCTGTGACCCCTGCTGCTAAAACCGAGAGTGCAAGGACATGTCAAGGAAAGGCAGCAGGAGGCCAGGCTGCCTCTCGCTGCCAGCTCCGCTCTTCAAACCCGGCCGAACCCCATTCGCGCACAGCGCACGAACGCAGCGAGCTCTTATTTACATCAGAGCACTTTGAAGATGCGGACACAGAGGCTTTCTTTTTCTAATATTAACTTTTTATGCTGCAGCACAGAGACCAACCGCCAGCCTCTTCTTAGGACCTTTGCTCCACCTTGCTCTCCTTTTCCATTTTAAGACATTTGTGCTCCTCCTGCAGCTCTCTGGTATTTTACCTTGATCTTACGTCACGGCTCAGCTTAGCGATCTTATTGAGGGAAACTTCAGGTCAACACTTACTCAGTCAACCAAAAAGAGATTTGATTTCCCTAACTCTGTTTCCCTTTTTTAGCATCCCTTTTAGGCTGCATCCTGAAACCCCCCTTTGAACCAGTCTCTCCTAAACACATCATGCAGCAAAACCCCAAAAGCAGAATCTTCTGAACTATTAATATTTTACTCAAACCCACTTCGGGACTGAAGTCTCCAAATGGAAAAAATCTGCATCACTTCAGCCAAGCTGACGTGCATGCACGAGCCCGAGGAGCTGAGCCGGTGTCAAGTGCTCGTTGACACAGGAAGGGCCCCTCCGCCACCCCCAGCTCCAGACACCGAGCGCACAACCCACAAACGGCTCTAGGGCAAGATCACGTCCAGCCAAGGCCCCGTTGTCACTCAGGACACCACAGATAAAACACTGCCCCTCGCTGACGCCACCCGCCCTAGTTTCAGTGAGCGGCGATGAGCTCTGAAGGGCGCCCGGCAAGAAACCACCACACACGACGCCGTAACTACTTCATACACCACAAACTGCGTTACGAACGACTGACAATTACACCTGGAGCTACTGAAAACACACTAAAAAGGACTGTGTCCTTGACCTCCCAGAGATGCGAGCTGGGACACCACGGGGGGGGGGGAAGGAACAAAAAAAAGATTATAATTAATTTATAGTCGCTTGAGTTCCTTCATTTTCCTTTTCATTTTCAGTATCTTGTGGTGTTCTCTCATTCGACTCTCACGTCCTTCTGGACTAACGATAAGCTGCACTATGAGCAGCTGAAGGAAAGGAGGACACAGTGAGACCCCTGCACCGGCGATGGAGCACAGCAGTGGTAACAGCCCCGATGGGCAGACGAGGTGGGGGGCAGTGTGCGGCACAGCCCCAGCTCAGAGGGAAGCAGGGAAGCGCCAGGTTTCTTTCCATGCACTTTCTCAAGGCCCTGCCCAAAATCCTCAGCAGCGGCCGCACACGGCAGAGGCAGCAGCAGGGGGTCTTGTCCTGCCCCGGCTCCCACCCCACACCACTGCCATGCACCGGGAGCCATGCACATCCCTGGGGCACGAACCCAACGGGACCCGGCCCTCTGCCCCTCCATGCCAACATGGACACAATGAACACTCCTTGTCAGCAAAACCACATTTGGTAATTCATTGTAAAGTGTTTTTGCCATCTGATGAGAGAAATCATCTTCCCTCTCCATTGCCATTCTCACCTGGAGAAGCCCCAATCTGCTTTCTTCTGCTGGCACCAGCGGGATGGCTGCAGCTCAGCTTCTCCAGCAGAGGAACACCCCCCTGCACCGAATTCACCACAGCTCCCAAAACCTCCTTACTTTTCCTTGCCAGGGCCACACAGCACCCACAAAACCCCCAACACCCCTGCCCTGGAGAGCTGATCAGATCCTTGCACAGAGCCACCCACCACAGCCCTCACCAAACCAAGGGAAAGTCAGCAGAAAACACTGTGCTGAGGATGCTTTCCACAGCGAGGAACATTCAACGTGTGTCAGCAGTAATCCATATCGACTGTTTTACCAGCTCCCTACTGGAACTCTTAGAAAATGCACCAGAATAGTAACTTATTTTCCCAGGATGAGGATAACTGGTGTGGGGGATGCAGCAGCAAGGTCTCTGCTGCGTGGTCTCCATCCTCAACCACCACACAATGGGAGCTCACGCCCCGCGGCTGCACCGCACAGGGGCCGCAGGGGCGGGAGGAAAGGATGTGGCACGCAGCACCCGGTCTGTGCACGGCGGTTTTTGTGGTAACGCCAACACAACCAGGCCCTCACACGTGGGCACGGTGGAAACCCTTCAGCCTCACCTAGAGACGGAGCCATGGTCGCCATGGGGTTGGTGGGATCGAGCTGGAAGCCGCCCATCATAAACTGCGCGTCCGAGGAGCTGCTGTCCATCTTCAGGTTGGGCAGGTTCATGTTCTGCGCCAGGTAGTACTGGTAGAGCTCAGCCTCGGCGGG